GTTACATGCGCGCAAACTTGATGTATAATTTGCAAAATTTTGTGTTACTCACTCATTTATTGGAGGGCACTGTACGTATATGGGTAGAGCATGCGAAATCTGAGACTATTCTGTTAGCAGGCCACTAAAGTTATCTTCATATGTTTTGATAAAGCTTACTACGACCGACCAAGAGTTTGAAAATTTACGTTATGTATAAAACTATTGTTACTTTCCCCGGTGATACTGTTACTTTCTCTGACACTACCGTTACTTTCCAAGATGCTACTGCTACTTTTACTTTCTCTAGTTTTCCTACTACTACTACTACTCATAGCAGTGATATGAGTGGTGGTGAAATTGCAGCGATAGTGATTGGCTCAATCGTTGGTTTTTTTATACTTGTTGGCTGTCTAAGTGCGAAGTGCAACAAGCAAGCATCCACTTCTCAAAATATAGGGCTTGGTAATGTTGACCAAGGTGCTGGTGGTGGACATGATGTTGGACATGATGTTGGTGGACATGTTGGTGGACATGATGTTGGACATGATGTTGGTGGTGGACATGATGTTGGGGGATAGTAGGGGGACATGATGTTGGTGGTGGACAAGATGTTGGGGGACATGATGTTGGCGGATTTGATTCAGGTGGTTTTTAATGCTTTGCTTGTAATTATTTACTCTCTCAACTTTCATTAGTATTCAAACTAGTAACATACCTCTTTTTACCAAATTAAAAATGATGTTAATAATATCATAAAGAAATGACAAGTCGCTCTAATCAAAGTATATATAATCAGAATATTAATATTACCAGACGTTCATTGTCATTATCAAATTTTGTCTTTTCCCTCTTTACCCTCATTTTCCTGGCTTTGTACAGCGGACCTGCTTATTTTGAAGTAACTGATATTTTTCACCAATTCTAGAGCAATGTCACGGTGATTTTCTTTTTCATACAGTTGGCGGAATACAGGAACAACAATTTGCAGATTATTCTCGAAGTTGGGTATAGTCCCGATTTCTCATTCATCGACTTCGCTCTCTTGCAGTAGTGGAACGGACAATATCGGTTTTCTTTAACGACATAGCATAACGAAGGTCTGATTGAGTATAATGCTGTTCTTTAAAATCATAAATTTTCGGAGTGATGTCGTGACTCCTTGAGATTTAGCGTCTTCCAACGGCTGTTATCGGCAACGCCTACTAATGCTAATTCTTCTAAACAGTTAGTGA